ATTGGAAGGACTGATGTTGAAGCTGAAACTCCAATACTTTGGCCACCTGATGCAAAGAGCTGACTCATTTGAAAAGACCCTGATGCTGGGAAAGATTGATGGCAGGAGGGGAAGGGGACAACAGAAGATGAGATGGTTCTATGGCATCACTGACTCAATGAACATGGGTTTGGGTGGACTCTGGGAGTTGGTGGTGGACCGGGAGGTCTGGTATGCTGTGGTTCATGGGGTCACAGAGTTCGGACACGACTGAGTGACTGAACTGAACTGATACAGGTGGTATGGTATGTATAAGGGTCTCAACCCTATCTGCAAAGGGAAGCATTACTTGGAGAGCGGAAGGAAAGAAAAAAATGAAGTTGTTCGGTCGTGTCCGACTCTTTGCAACCCCGTGGACTGTAGTCTACCAGGCTTTCCCATCTATGGGATTCTCCGGGCGGGAATGCTGGGGTGGGTTGCGTTTCCTTCTCCAGGGGATCTTCCCAACCAGGTGATCATACCCGGGTCTCACATATTGGAGGCAGACGCTTTACCCTCTGAGCCACTAGGTAAGCCTCCCCAAATTTGTGCCTGTCTCCCTTCTAGGACTAATTCAGATATGTCTTAGATAGGTGGGATGTGTTTGTAGTTTTCAAACCTATCTAGATTCTCATGCACTATAAAGATATGATAACCAGTGACCTTAACACTGAGGTGCTCATATCCCTGAGGGGGTACATGAAGAATTTTCAAAGTGTTAGCACATTTAGTTTTCTGAGGGTCAGTTAACAGGTCCTCGCTATATGTACAGAAAAAAGCACATCTTTGATCCATCACCGATCTTATTGAAGTGTATTCTACCCCAGGTGGTCTTCCCTGGTGGCTCACATGGTGGGGGGTCTGCCTGCAGTGCAGGAGACCTGGGTTCGATGCGTGGGTTGGGAGGATGCCCTGGAGAGGGGAATGGCGGCCCGCTGCAGTGTTCTTGCCTGAAGAATCCCATGGACAGAGGAGCCGCAAAGAGTAGGACACAAGTGAATGATTAACACCCCAGGTGTTAAGCCTTTGAGAGTCCAAACTTAGAGGTAGGTAGCTTCCTGTAGTGATTAAACTTACTGATTCACATTGATGATAGAATGAGATAATAGCCTAGAACTGGAGTGTTTTGGCTTTCTTTGGGAATTTCTGAGTTAGATCAATGATGGTCTTGAGTGGTAGGAGTAATTGTGAGTTTTTTTTAAGCCAGTTCCCCTCTTCTTCCCTAACCTTTTGTCAAAGAATACTTACAAAGCAAAAAACAATACTGTGAAATGTTTTGAAAACTAGAAATATGTAAATCAGACTGTAAAATATGTTGAATTTTAACTTATGAATTTTTTTGCTCCATTTTCTTTGAACACTTTGGAAGAGTATATCGAAGAATTGGGGTAAAAAAATAAGTACTAACCAGAAGTGCAATTCCTTTAAATCAGATGATAGAATATATAGATTTACAAATTGGGTTTCCTTTTTTTTAAACCTAAAATATCATGAAGGTGTGTCTAGAGGTAATTGCTATAGTAGGTGTGCTTATACATGTTAATCGTTTCATAACATCTTTAAAACCCTTAGAAGGTTACAGATAAGAGGCAGGATTGAACTTGGGCCCCAGAGCAGTGAAAGCAGCAAGTCGTAACCATTGGTTCTTCAGGGAATTCTGGAGAATATTTTCTTTTAAGTGATAACTTAATTGACTGAAAAGGTGTTTTTCTGTTATGTTTCTTTATAACTCATGATACCTTTTTCATGTATAGATGTATGTATATTTGAGTTCTACCATATAAAACATTGTTTTCCAAGCCAAAAAAAAAAAAAAAAAAAACTTTCCCAGGTTTGATTCCTCCCAGTCTTTCCAAGATTGGGGTAAACCCTGGCTGGGGCTGTGTGTATATGAGGCTTCCCTATCTGTAAAACCTTTGTGGCATCACTTCAGACTAAGACACTTTGGACATGTTACTTTAGTTATAATATTGTGTTCATCCTCCCTAAGGGGCTAAGAGACTTAAGCAGTTATTTTGAGCACCAAGTTTCTCCCAGTTATCTAAAGTTAGCTCAGGCACAGAATACTTGTTACCTGAAGATGGTTGTGTATCTAGGCTGTTGTGGAAAGTGATGCAGTGAATTTAGGACTGCAGATATCTCTTTGTGATACTGATTTAATTTCCTTTGTATATATATCCAGAACTGTGTTTGCTGAATCATATGCTACTCCTTTCATACATTTATAAGGAAACTTTTACTGTTTTCCACAACATAGCCACACAATTTACATTCCCACCAGCAGTGTACAAAGGTTCTAGCTCCCCACATCATGGCCTTAACCTGTTAATTCTTTGCCTTTATAATATACAAACTAACAGGCATGAGGTGTTGATTTACTTTGCCCTGATGATTAGTGAGGTTGAAAACCTTTTCCTTTGTATGCTAGTCATTTGTCTGTCTTGTTCCCGAAATGTCTGTTTAAATCTTTGCACATTCCTCAACTCCCTTATTTACTCTTTTTAATATTGTATTTGTTTTGCATTTGAGCTGTGGTATTTTCTTATGAATTTTGAGGATGAGCTCCTTATCTGATACATGGCTTGTAATTTTTCTGTAGGTTATCTTTTCATTGTACTGATTTATTGAAGAGACTACCCTTTTCCTATTCCATTGTCTTAGAACCTTGATGAATTTCATTTGACCATGTATCCGTGACTTTTCTTGGAGCTCTGTATTCTGGTCTTTAGGGCTATGTATCTATTTCTATGTCAGTATCATACAGGTTTGATTCCTATATCTTTGTAATGTGTTTTGAAATCAGGAGGTGAGATATTTTGATCTTTGTTTTCAAGGTTATTTTGTCTGTGTGGAGTCCTTAGCAGTTCCATATATATCTTTGGATTTGTTTTTCCCATTTCTATGAAAATGATGTTAATATTTTGATTGGTGTTGCAATGAATTTTTACTTAGCTTTGGGTACTATAGAAATGTCAACAGTACTAAGTCTCCAGGCTATGAGCATGATCTGTCAGTTCAATTCCTCGTGGCTTAGTTCATTCTCTCAGTGGGGTGTGTAGTGTTCAGTGTGCTGGTCGTTTCTTTCTGAAGACCCTGTGTCCCTCCCTCCCTGATCTCAGAGTCAGTGGTGGAGGTATGGGCTGGTGAGGAGATGCAGTGTCCCTCCCTCCGTCCTCACCTCTTCTCTGATGATGTTCAGCACAATTGCCCTGGGCCCTGTGTCCACACCTGTCCCCTCAAGTGGAACACCTGCTGGGAAATCCTCTAAGATCTAGGTATTGGCATTGCTGTTTCAGTGTCCCAAAGGCTCCTGAGTACGTGAGTTGTATTCACAAGCCCAGGAAATACCTACAAAAATGAGTCATCAAATCAGGCCAGCCAAATACTCTGCAGAAGCTGTTGGGCTACATTTTGCAGGCCTGCAAGTGCTGTACTTTGCCTGGACTTGAGACCAAAAAAAGATTCCAGAGTTGACAGAGATATCAAAGGGTTAATAGATGGGGCGTCTTACATATCTGAAGTAAATGGGTCCTGGAGATGAAAGGTTGTTGCTGAACCACAAAAAGACTCCGAGATTCTTAGCCTCCGGAGGAGAAGAATTCAATCCAGGGCCAGAGACGAGGCTTGATCCCTCAGAGCTTTTGTGTAATAAAGTTTAATTATAAAGGAGATAGAGAAAGTTTCTGACATAGGCATCAGAAGGGGGCAGAAAGAGTGCCCCCCTGTTAGTCTTTAGCTGGATGTTATATAGTCACTAGCAGTTTGTTAAGAAAGAAAGGAGGGTGTACGTGCAGAGCGCGCAGAGCGAGTGGCGCCCACACGCCCTGCGCTGCTCCGCCGGCCGAGCCGGCCGCCCGGATCGCTGAGGCGGCGGCGGCCAAGGCGGCGGGTCTCGCGCGCCGGGCCCGCGTGCCCGAGCGGAGGGCGCCGTCCGCCGCGCAGTGGTGATGAGGCGCTGAGGCGGCGGCCGGCGCTGCGCGGCGCGACCGAAGGACGAGGACGCGGCCGGGCCGAGGGAGCGGGGCGCCGGTCTCCTGAGGCGAGGGGCGGCGGGCGCATGGCGCAGTGACGGCCCCTGCCGCTCCGCCCGCTCCCCGGCCCGAGGCTAGGCCGTCCGGCCGCCACCCCTCCTGCTCGGCCACCGCCTCCACCCCCGCCGCCATGGCCAATGACAGCGGAGGGCCCGGTGGGCCGAGCCCGAGCGAGCGAGACCGGCAGTACTGCGAGCTGTGCGGGAAGATGGAGAGCCTGCTGCACTGTAGCCGCTGCCGCAGCTCCTTCTACTGCAGCAAGGAGCATCAGCGCCAGGACTGGAAGAAGCACAAGCTCGTGTGGCAGGTCGGCGAGAAGGTTTCTGCCCCCGGCACGGGCCAACCGTTAAGCCGGGCCGCGCGCCGCCACCCAGGGCCGCCGAAGCCAGGGAGGACAGGAAGGCGGCGCCGCGCCGGGACCGAGCCGTCGAGGCCGTGGGTCCGCGGGCCTCCAGAGACGCGGCCAAGGCGAAGGCCAAGCCTATGGCCGACCCCGTGGCAGCCGCGTCCCTGCCCCGCACAGCCCCCGGCAGCCAGGGTTGGGTAGCGGCGGCCGCTGAGGCGGAGTCCGCAAAGGAGGAGCTGCTGGCCCGCCCGTCGCTGTACCAGGAGAAGGCGAACCTGTACCCGCTGAGTAACGCGCCGGTCGAGGGGCTGAGCCACGGCGGCCTGCGGCCCAACGGGCAGACGAAGCCGATGCCGGCACTGAAGCTGGCGCTGGAGTACATCGTGCCCTGCATGAACAAGCACGGCATCTGCATGGTGGACGACTTCCTGGGCAAGGAGACCGGCCAGCAGATCGGCGACGAGGTGCACGCCCTGCATGACACGGGCAAGTTCATGGACGGGCAGCTGGTCAGCCAGAAGAGCGACTCGTCCAAGGACATCCGAGGCGATAAGATCACCTGGATCGAGGGCAGGGAGCCCGGCTGCGAAACCATCGGGCTGCTCATGAACAACATGGACGACCTGATCCGCCACTGTAACGGGAAGCTGGGCAACTACAAAATCAATGGCCGGACGAAAGCCATGGTTGCTTGCTCTCCTGGCAATGGAACAGGTTACGTACGTCATGTCGATAATCCAAATGGAGATGGAAGATGTGTGACATGTATATATTATCTTAATAAAGACTGGGATGCCAAGGTAAGTGGAGGTATACTTCGAATTTTTCCAGAAGGCAAAGCCCAGTTTGCTGACATTGAACCCAAATTTGATAGACTGCTGTTTTTCTGGTCTGACCGTCGCAACCCTCATGAAGTACAACCAGCATATGCTACAAGGTATGCAATAACTGTTTGGTATTTTGATGCAGATGAGAGAGTGCGAGCTAAAGTAAAATATCTAACAGGTGAAAAAGGTGTGAGGGTTGAACTCAATAAACCTTCTGATTCGATCAGTAAAGACGTCTTATAGAGCCTTTCATCCAGCAATACCCCACTTCACCTATAATACTTATTGATGCTACTTGTTAACTTGGGAATACAAATAAATGGGATAAAGAAAAATAGACAGCCAGTTGGCAGTTTAAGGAAACAGAAACAACTTTTTTGTGTTGCGTCAAAACAGAGATTTTGACTGTGTGGCTCTGTACTGCATGATCGACTCCAAACCTGTGATGGGAGGAATGTAAGTTATCAACTGAAAGTGGTGTTTACATCTGGACATGAAATAAGTGCCCTAGGCAGAATTGTTTTCATTCTTATATTTTGCCAGATCTGTCATCTAGCTGAATTCATTTCATCTCTCCCTTTTTTATATAGTCAAGTTTGAATTTGAAATAATTTTTGTATACTCAGGTACAATTTATCAAAACTGAATTGAGAAAACATTACAGTATTATTTCCCAAAATAGTATCAATCTATTTTTGTAAACCTCTTCGTACTATTAAATTTTGCCCTGAAAAGCCTCTTAAAAAAAAGAAAAGAAAAGAAAGAAAGGAATGTCTTAAAACTCAGAATGGCACCAGGCCCCTCATCCATAAGATGTATTTTGGGATAATCTTGGCACCGGAAGAGTCATCCCAGGCCATAAAATGATTGACTTGAATCCTGTAGACAGGCAGATTACCATACAAATAGTTTCGTTTACATAGATTAGGGGAACAATGTCTGAATATAACATAATGGTTTGTCAAGTAGGTTCTGAACCATTAGGCAGAATGGACTTCAAGACAGAGTTTGGGGTAAAGGCATAGCACATTAACATAGCTTAAGACAAACATTTCCATAAGAAGAGTGCATTGGTTAACTCAAGGTTTGAGAATAGTTAACTTCAGGTGGAACCAGGTGTCATTATGGCAACACAGTATTTTAAGAGAAATCTCCTTTTAAATTTGTATAGAAAAGGGGGGAAAAAAAAAAGCATCATTCCTGCCGCTTAAGAGAGAGATAAAAATGTCTGACACTTGAAGCCTATTTCCTCTGTTTGGAGACCCCTGGCCTTCCTGCCTGTTACCCTCTCAGAGAGACACCCACTGTGGATAGCAGGGAACAGGCAGAAGACAGCAGCTATAGTTTTCTTTACTCTGAGGGGATAAGGAGTCTACCAGTTACAGTGGGAATGAACAGCAGATTGGCCCATTGATTACCATGGAAACCAGAAAAGGGCCACATCTCTCTTAGCCCCTCAGGCTAAATGCTCTCATGCGTCAGAGGTCTTTTCTTTGTTAATTTAACAGCAAACAGTCATCTTGAAATGGCCAGAAAACACAAAGGAAATAACAAGAGAGGGGTGTTAACACCCTGTATATATCCATGCATACTCAGTCACTTAGTTATGACCCCACTGTTTGTGACTCCATGGACTATATCCCACCAGGCTCCTCTGTCCATGCTATTTTCCAGGCAAGAATATTGAACTGGATTGTCATTTCCTCCTCCAAAGTATCTTCCCAACCCAGAGATTGAACCCACGTCTCCTGCATTGGCAGGCAAATTCTTTACCACTAAGCCACCTGGGAAACACCTTCACTTGTACCAAAGTTCCTGTTCTGCCGTCATCTGTCAGAATCGGCAGGACTCGTGGTGATGATCTGAAGATTCATTCAGTCTTTCCTGGTGACTCAGACAATAAAGAATTCACCTGCAATCCAGAAGACCTGGGTTAGAACCCTGAGTCAGGAGGATCCCCTGAAGAAGGAAGTGACTAACCACTCCAGTACTCTTGCCTGGAGAATTCCATGACAGACGGCCCTGGCAGGCTAGTCCCTGGGCTCACAAAGTGCTGAAATCGACTGCATGAGTTATCCGCACACATATATAAACATATATAGTGGCTTTTGTGTATTATAGTTGGTAGGCACTAGCGAGTTGTGACTGCTATAATTTACTTAAAGGCATGTTATACATGTGTCAAAACACTTGTGATTTCAGGATGGTTAGCATGAAGGTGAGAGCTCTAGTGGACATGTAGAAGTGAGAGGTTGAGAATTGACTTTTTCAGCATCTCTGTCTTTAGGTTTGCAACTGATATCAGTGACTTACTGAATGACTGTGACTGCACAGAGCACAGATGACTGCCATCTGCTATCCACAGTGGGGTGTCTCTTCAGGACCTTGGGAAAAAGGTCAAGGTGATGCTGTGAGATCCAGCAGGCCTCAACTGGAGGATATGTGGGTGGGTTGCTCATTCTAACCACCTTTTTGCTCATGGAGTGCACTGTGGAGGGCATTTGGTGCAGTGATGAGAAAGGGGAGACAGGTAGCTAACAAGATTCCGTTGGGATCTGATGGGAGAGGGTTCTGGAAGTTAAACCCTCTGTTAACCCCAGAGTTAAACTCTCTGTTTGGTGGCTAAGAAAAGTGAACCTGAAATTAAGAAGAAGGAAATGTGTATAGAATTCTGACTTATTCTTTACATATGAAATGATATGATAGAGAAATTGTGTCCTGGACTTGCATTGTGCTCTATTTCTAATCAGCTTTTGTTGCTTTACTCTTCAAAAATCATTTTTCCTATAAGAGCTGCTCGTTTCTGCTTTTTTACTAATATGGAAACCTGGTCTCTGGTCAGCACATCTCGGGTATTGTGCACTGCAGGCTGTTTTCTGTTGCATGTTGAACTATGAGGACCATATCCTAGTGGGCACAAAACTCTCATTGTCAGTTGACACTGGAGACCACGTCCTTGCAGTGCCTGTGAGGTGGTGGGTGCGATGTGAACTCTCTCCTCCTGCACTTTCAGGACTTGTGACTTCCCCTCATGTTTGTCCTCACTGTTAATTCCTCGTGTAAAGGGCGCTGCCGGGGGTGGATGAGTCACAGCACACAGGCTCTGGGGTCCCTGCCCGGGCCCGGTCTCCTGGGGCTCTTCACAGCCTCTGCAGCAGCCAAGGCTGATGTGCTGAAGGCGCTTCCGGGTGAGAGGTCCATGTCCTGCTGCTCCTGGAGACCCTCCACATCTGCAGATTCTAGAGTCTGTGAAGGGCCCACGGGGCTTCCTCACACACTTGCTTTCACAGCCCTGCTGACCTGGTCTCCTAGGATTGGGCATTCCCAGGGCAGCAGGTCCTGGGGTCACTGCTACTCTCAGAACCCACTGCTGCATCCAGACAGTCTTGCCCCTTCTCCCCAACCCAGGCCTGCCCCATCCTCTCTCCTTTCCTTACACCTTCCCAAGTCTCATCCCTCCCAATTTTCCAAGTCTCAGTGCAAACCCGGCAGCTACCACATGTTTATGGAGGACCCTTGTCACATTATTCTGGCTAAATGAAATTGGAAGTGTTTGCCTCTATCCTTTCTAAGGGTCTGTGAAACTTGAGGTGTTGCTGTGAGCATTAAGCATCTCCCAGGTAACTCAGGTCACCCCAGGCAACGGGAGAGTCTCTGTTATGTGGAATTTTTGTCCTTCCCTCCCCCAGGGCTCAACACACTCTCAAGTCCATGCCAGCTCCTCCCTTGGAGAAATGTATTGGTTAATTGAGTAATGGACTGATTGGAGACAGTGGCCATACACCGATGTTCCTCCTTCTAATGTGTCCACATTGCAAACTCTAGGGTTGCTAGAGGTTGAAGGAGGAAGTAAAGTAACAGTGACTAGAGGAGAGAAATAAGGAAGCAATTAGAGAAGCAGCAGCAGGAGAAGGAGGCAAGGAAGGTTGTGGGCAGAGATGCATGGAGACAGTGACCACCTGGAGGAGGAACAGATTGGCACAGCCTCATTCTTGGTCACACATAGGCAAGTTGAGGGTGGCAACAGGATGTTGGAGGTCAAAGGTCCACTTTTTCACTGAAGAGGTGAAACACCAAGGCCCTGGGAGTTCCCTGGAGACAAGGGCACCACAGTCCCCTGGTCACATCCTGACTCTAAATCTCCCCTTTGCTTTCCCACAGCCATTCCACAGGAGTTCTGCCTGGCAACACCAGAAACCTGAATGGAAGATAATGAAGAATTGGAGCAGAAGAGCAAGAATACGGAAGTCATTTACTGTCAGGGGACGTTCAACTTTACAGAATCCAGTAAGTTGCATTTTTTTTTCCTTTGTGTGCCATTTCTCAAGGATTCTCTGTTCCTTATCAGTTCCTATTAGGGGAACGAGTGGAGCTGCACACAGTTCTCATCACTGAGATCACAGGAAGGGGTACCTGCTTGGATTCCTTCCAGTAACTCCCTTCAGTGACTCTTTTCAACGTCAGCGGACTTAAATGTATTAGATTATCCATTTTGTTGTAACTGATGGAATTTCATTCTTTGTAATGGCTAAGTAAACATTTTACTAAAGATATATAAGCCTGTATTTCTGCTAATAAAATACCCTTGCTCCACTCAAGACCTGGGTCCCCTGTGGCCTTCTTTCTGTCTTCATTCTCGGCAGAGCGTGGAAACCTACCGAGCTCACTTTCTTGCCCGGGCTTTCAAGACCTCCTTGAGAGGATGCCCTGTGCTTTCATGAGTGGTACAAGTCCTGTGAACGTTGGTATTCCATGTAACCCGCGAGATACTGCTCTCTCTCTCTCTCTCTCTCTCTCTTTTCATCGATTCCAGCCCACCAGGTTCTGGCCTGTATTAATGAGTGACCATTTATTTCTTCTTTCATATCCGTTAATTTTTTTTCTCTTTTTCTGGTCCATAGATTCTTCCTTGTAACCCTTTCCCATCTACTCTTTGCATCTTTTAATGATTACCATTCTGGAGGACCAGTTCTCTTATAGGCAGTTGGGTTCCTGGGACCTTATATAAAATCTATGAAATCTGTCCGCAGCTCTCTTCCTCCACTTTCTTAGCATTGTCCTCGCTCCTGACCTCATGTCTGCACCCTTGAACCTGGCTTTGTCACCATGAGTTGCCTGAGCAGGAGTTGAGGCTGGAATCAGTAAGTCTGGACCCACACATCTCAACAGGCCCCATGAAGTCTGCACTGCCCTGGGCTACCCCATATGGTTGCTTTCCTGCCCTGGGAGGGATTGGAGCTGCC